TATATATGCATTGTACATGTGTGCGTGTGTGTATAGTATATGCTGGGCTATTCGAGTGTCGAATTACGTATACGTACATGTACATGCAGTATGTGTTTTGGCAATGCGCCCACATACACACACGCACACACACACACACATACACATTCTGTGTAATGTGAATGATGACCAAAAATGTGCGTAGCCTTAGTTTCAGGGTTATTGAATTTAACCTCAATCAAATGATTTCAAAAATAAATAAATAAATTCTTTTAAATTGAATTAAAAACAAATCAATAAATTTGTTATCGATGTACTATAATTTGGTACAAATATCATTAATCATGCTCCTATTCAAACTTCCTTTCGCACAGATGTCGAATTCGTTTTCGAAGTTATGGGCTCCCCCGGTGAGGGCATCGATGCCGTCGATCTAGGCGATGCTCTGCGCGCTCTGAACTTGAACCCCACCCTCGCTTTGATCGAGAAAATGGGCGGCACCAAGAAGCGCAACGAGAAGAAGATCAAATTGGAGGAATTCCTGCCCATCTACTCGCAAGTGAAGAAGGAGAAGGAGCAGGGCTGCTATGAGGATTTCATTGAGTGCTTGAAACTGTACGACAAGGAGGAGAACGGCACCATGCTGCTCGCTGAGTTGCAGCACGCCCTGCTGGCTCTTGGTAAATGGGATCTTTTGTAATTGATAGCAATAATTGAGGCTAACTTGTTACTTCTTTCTATCAGGTGAGTCCCTGGATGATGAGCAGGTTGAGACTCTGTTCGCTGACTGCATGGATCCCGAGGATGATGAGGGCATGATCCCATACTCTCGTAAGTAGAACTTGCCTAAATTGTTATCTATTTCATTTGTCTATGTGTCAGTGCTACATAATGTATTTGTATCTTTTACATGTACACACGCCCACACACCTACACCCACACTCGCACACACACACACCAACTTGTTGTCCTATCACTCAAACACTCCAACGAAATGCACTCTGAACACACTCTCCCGCACACTCTGTCAATGTGTGTGTCTTTTGTGTGACCCACTGCACCACTGCACCACTGCACTGCACCACCACCTGTATGTTGACATCGATGAACCGCTCCTGCAGAGTTCATCCAGCGCTTGATGAGCGATCCCGTCGTCTTCGACTAAACAGTAAGTTTTCTTGTTCTTTGTGATCGACTGTGTCTCTCTCTCTGTCTTTCTCTCTCTCTCTCTTTCTCTCTCTCTCTCTATAAATATAATACACATCTAATAAAAAAACTCTTTCTCATCTTATAGCATTCCTCGCCAGAATGTGTGACAGACCAGATCAGCTATAAATATAACAACAACAACAATTCAACAACAACAATAAATTTATAGCAAACAGCCATTCTCCATAGATGTTATATTCATCGCTAACTCTCTCTATCTCTCTCTCGTATATTATTTTAATTAAAATTTACTTCTGCTACTACAACTGCAAAAATTGAACTTCAAGATAATATTATTTTTTTAAAATAAAAAATTTAAATTATAAAACAAAAGTATCAAAACGAAAAAAAACACAAAAACAAAAAAAAAAAAATGAAAAAAAAAAGTTTCGTTGACAATTTTATTTTGTTGTTTGATAATCTACCTTTTTTTTTTTTTTTTGTTCTTTTACGGTTATTCAGCTTTAAAACAGATGCATATAAACAAGTTAGCAAAATCAGTGCATTTGTAGATCTTTAGCCATCTATACTCAATTCGGAATAGGACGTGAAGACTATATACAATATAGAGCAAGACTCTCTTCAGCTTAAACAACGATGGTAAATAAAAAGTGGACAAATATCCAATTGAAAATGGCGTTTAAATTCATTCACAATTGATCTATTTCTTGGACATTTATGCGAGGGTAGTTTATACAGGTTTTCATATTGATTTAAGTACTAGTACAGCATATTCTGAGCGTATTAAATTAAAAATTATGCTCTTTACATGAAATATTATTGATTCAAATTATTTGGCATCTGTACTGGCTATAAATAGGTTTGATCCAAATAATAGATAACAGTTAAAATAAAATAAAAAGTTTTTCAATTTTGTGCTTTATTTTTCGGATTGATAATCAATTTAATTTCTAAAAAAAAAAAAACAACTTTTTTTTATGAAAAAAAAAAAAAAATGCTTTTTGTTACTGTTTTAGAAACCAAATTTCAGTTTTAATTTACTATAGAGCTAATGCCTTAATGTATGCTGTAAATAATGTGGTAAATATTTCAATATACTATATACTAAATACTAAATCCCAAATATTTAAACTGTGTGTTTTTTTTATTGCTTATTATTTTAAACGCAGTTCCCCTTAATCTCAGGCAATCTTTTTTGCATGCCCTCTATTTCATCCATATATTAAATATTTATTAAAATAAAAATTTTGATATTTGATATTAGTTTAATAATTGAGCTGAGAACTAGTTTTGATAAAATAATAAACATAAAGAAATTAAAACTGAACAACTTTAAAACTTTGCATCAAATAAAAGTACGTGTTGAAAAAGTGAAAAACACTTATGCATAAAGCCGACAGATGGCGCTTGTGCTATTGTTAGGAAAAGCTTTCACAGCTTTGCCCCTGCGCGCGTACTAAATATAAAGCTTTCGCAAAGCTTGCGCCTCTGCCCGAGCAGACGTTAATTAGGAATTTCAACCGAACTGAAAATCAGTTGAAAACGAGATAACAAACCCAAAAGATACGAAGCGCAGCGCCAAACGCTCTCAGAAAAATTGCATTGGCAAAATTTAAGAAAACTAAGAAAAATACCCGAAAATTGAGGAGAAAACCAAAACAAAGTGAAAAAAGTAAAGAGAAAAAAAAAGAAACAAAATTATACCAGCATTAAATTGTTAAATTTAGTTATTTTAATAAATATTGTTGCGACTTTATTATTTGAAAAATAAAAGAACGCAACTAAAGCATTCCAAAAGCGAAGCGAAATCAAAGTGTGAAAAGGTGAAGCAAGAAAAGTGGTGCAGAAAATATTAAATTTAACACAGAAAAGAGTACACACAGCGGGTCAAAAAAAAAAAGAGTCCTGTACTAAGTGCAACACACATACATACACACATATATATACATATATAAATAAACACATACATATATAAACATACAGGCATTTTCAATATGGCGGATGTCATGGAGAAAAGCTCTGTGCTGGAAGCTGCGGTGTCCACGATTCCCGAAACGCGCCCAGTGCAGCCCGTGCTGCTGCAACAGGAAGCGCCACAGCAGCAACAGCAACAGCAACAGCAACAGCAACAGCAACAGCAACAGCAGCAGCAGCTACTGCAGCAGCAACAGAAGCCGGAGCCGGCTTCCGCGGCACGCGCTGGTCAAGAGCAAAAAGGTGAGCTGACACACATTACTCATACGCGATGTTAACACGCCGCAAATCAATTAAGAGCAGTAGCAGAGAATCGTCGATATGTATCTATGTATCTATCGCTCAATTAGTTAAAGTGTTTGGCACACCCCGGCACACTGATGGTTATGTTGGCCAAACATGCACCACGAATGCCATCAACAGCACCGCCAGCGCACCACTAACACCAGCTCACGTCATATTTTCTGGCTGCCTTAAGCTATTGTGCAAATAGATTTGTATACCCTAGCGAAGAGTCCCCTAATTTAGCGTTCGAATATGTCCCGAGCCGAGCACGATGCAGTATTAAATAAAAAAGAGAAAAAGGCAAAGATCCATTGAAAATTTAAACTTCTTTAAGTTAATTTAAGTTTAAAGCCTAAACTGATATCGATTTATATATATGTGTATGGAGTATATTGAGCATTGAGTATAGTATGAGTATATTGAGAGTATATTGAGAATTGAATTTTCTTTAAGACAAGTTGAGTTCAGTATATATGTACCTAAGCCGATATACAAATAAATATATATTGATATTTCACTGATATCAGAAAGCAATGGAAATCTGAATTTACTCATATAACATTTGGAGCTTAGTTATGAGTGTATACATACATTTATGCCCATCAAGTCAGACATTAGTTAGTGCATTCCACTTCTTGCAATACTCGGACAACATTTTCATTGTAGCTGTTTGCACAGTTGTCGAGCGGCTTTGAAAAAGAGTTGTTTGTGCTTAATGTTCGTGTCTGAAGAGCGGGCACTCAGCAGTTAAGCCCGCTATCATCGGGCATCAGCCGGGCGGGATGTGCCACAGGATGTGGCAACCATTGTCTGGCGAATGTGGCATGGGCGCAACGACCTGTAAGCTACGTTTTAATTGTGCCTCGCATGCATTGTGCATCTAACATCTGTTGTTATCGGTAACAGAAGTTGTGTAGGCATTGCTTGCTACTCCGTTTGCTTCTGCTCCAGCTACCGTCTCTAATCATGCCTATGCCCCTGTCCTTGTCGCTGCATTTGCCACTCCCCAACTTCAGTTATCGGCACCACGAACGGCGCCGCTGTTGCCTGCAATTTCTGTCCCGGCCCCTAATCCCGGCCCTGCTTGTATAGCTTCTCCTATTTACTGTTGATTCAGCACTTACCTCTGCCCTTCAGACTATCTCCCGCCTCATCCATTCTACCAGGCCTGAAGAGAAAGATCTGAGATTAAGCCTCTGTCCTTGCCTCTGTCTTAGCCTCTACCTCTCGCTCTGCCCCTGATCGTTGCTCCGTCGAACTACCCGGCCATACTCCCACCCGTGCTCCTACTCTTATCTCTGCCTCTGTCGCTGTCAACCGCATCATCATCCGCTGCTGATGCTGCTGCTCTCGCTGTTTGCGGTCTGTACTCTGCAGATGACCTCGTTTCAATTAAGCTAGTTTTGCTGATGGTATCTTTATGTCTTTGTAATTCATCTAAACGCATGCGTTGGGCCTAATCGCTGACTAAATAAAAATCTGTCTAGGAATATGATCAAAACGTTCAACCGAAAACGAAACTTAAAATAAAAGTAAATGAAATTGCCTTTTGGATTCATTTGAGACTTTGCTTTGATTTATGATTTTGCAGGTTTGCTTATCAGATTTACATTATATATAGTGTATATACATATTATAAATCGACATTTAAGAGTGAAATTCAAATCATTGCCTCGAATCACAGTACAAAATATTCTTGTTGGTGTTCCTCTTTTCAGATTCTTGAAGTGTGGTTCTCGCTCTATCCTTCTCTCTCTCTCTTTCTCTCTCTCGCTCTTATTCACTCCCACTTTTACACAGTGCTACTATGTGCTCGTTGTGTTGTCCCATTCACTGTCACCTCTGACGCTGATTAAATCAAATAGTCAACGGTAGTGCAAACCGGCTCGGTTAAATAATCATAGCCACAACAACAACAACAACAATAATTGTTATTGTTTTGTGCGCTTTTATCTTAGAGCTAAATAACATAAACTAATAGCAACAACAAAAAATAGAAAACAAAAACCGACTAAAAATATAAATAAATATTGTTGCTGATTGCCATCAGTTATCTCCTGCTCTCCATCGCTCATTCTCGCATTGCCGCGTTCTCTCATTCTCTCATTTACACAGCTGTGTCATTCACATGAAGTCATCGTCGCGTCGACGTCAGCGTCACCTACTTCTGTCCGAACTATATAACAATATATAATTCGAATATACTATGATTACATATACCCTTACAGCAGGTATTATATATATAAACATATAAACATCTATATATATTTATTAATTTATTTATCATGCAGCAGTCAAATGAATATTAGCTTAGTAGTATATAAACCAGGATAATTAACATTTTTGATTTCTTTTCTAATGCTATAGCTAAATCTGATCTACTTTTAGATAAGAGAAGATCGATGGACCTATAGGGTCCTAACGAACAGGAATATTATTAAAATAAATCATTGCGATAATTACATATATTAGAGAGCATAATTTGAAATCGAGGCAGGTCAAACATTTTCAAACATCAGGCAAACGAGATGTTCTGCAATTTCAGATACTATTCTACAAGCGACCTTGTCTTTGCATTTTGTCTACATTCATTTATTTGCCCACTTTTTGTTTTACCTGAGTTCATGTTTATTTAATTTTGAACTCTACTAACAGGTGATATACACATACCTTAGCGAAACTCTTTGCATCAATCTATATCTATATTTGCACACGCAGTAGATAAGTGCGGACAGAGTCCTCTCTATGTGCTTCTCACTTTGTGAAAAAACATAGAGAGAGAGAGAGAGAGAGAGAGAGAGAGAGAGCGTGAGTGTGCTCTTTTGCTTTATAAATAGATAACTTTGACTGCAATTCTGTCAGACACACTTCTTACGTAGTATTTGTCTTCAATTAACACAATTTTGCAAGCCAGCTGTGCGAGAATTGGTGTCTCTTGCATTTTCCTTACATTACTTACTTACATTCTTTGAGGAGGAGGCTATCCGATTAGAAATCTTGCGTCGATTTCTATCTGATGCCCACATAACTATATATCCAGAGTAACTATATATCCAGAGTTGCAACCCTTGTAGCTCCAATCTACTCTTCCTGCACATTCTTAACAGAGTATGCCGCATAAGTGCCGGAATTCCCTCAGTTTTTCAGAAGTCTCTGCTAATTGCTGTGGCATCCGCTATAAAAACACGAAAATCTATCTAATTTCTAGACATTTAGCGCCATATATGAGGGTTCGGTTGTTACTTCTGCTCTTTCTGCTGCCACGCCCTGTCGACTGACAGCAAATGAAGCACGAAAATCTATGAAAAGCTTTGGTGTACTTTTTAGGTAGACATGCGTGTAGCCCATATATGGAGATTATGATTAATTTGCTTGACGATTAATTGATTTATATATTCTTCATTTACGCTTCTGCCCGGAAAGAAAATTTAAAATAGCTTTCGATTTGAAACTCATGGAAAAGTCAATTTGTCTGATTTTACATGAAACTAAATAAGCTTATAGAGCTCTTCTATTAGAGATGTATATTCAGTTTAAACTAGAGAAGTGACAACTGTAAAATTGAAAAATTACAGCTTATGGTGCTCGACTAGGAAATATCCTAGGCTACAGAGATCGCTTAAGACTTATTTATTATACTCATTCACGCATTCACTCTCTATCTGTATATGTATCTGATTGGCTCTTTCTATCTGTATGAGGAAGTCCTATAACTGCTTCCACATTTTCATAGTTACGAGTATAGCTCGATTTGTCTGTTGTGGATATTAATGTCCTAACCTATAAAATTAGGGTGGTGCTCAGACTTTTTTCGAGATGGACAAGCTGAACTCGTGTATATACACATATGTAGTAGCAGTAGAATTCAGATATAAAAGCTACGCATATATATTGGGAGAAAGAAGAAGGCAGAAGCAGGCTCCCAGAGTCCACCCAGTTATAATGCCAAATCAATATGAATATCTGTTGAGCATTAGCTGACAGATCACCCGAGCTCTATGTTTATCTGTTTATTTTTGTAGACAGGTTATTAGCTCTTTTTGAACTGTTTCGAATCTCAAATTGGGATTTCGTCCCAACAAGGCTTTATATAGTGGGGAGCGTTGGTCCTTTGGAAAATTTGCTTTTCTTTCAACGCCATTTGGTTTACAATTTTGGATCTTCCCCTTTAACGCTTTGATCCTCCCGTCCATTTCTTGAATCGATTTTACCATGTCTTTGAGCTTAGTATTCTTTGCCTTCAGCTCATCATTAAGCTTTGTCGCTTTATCCAAAAGCGCCTGCACGTCCTTCTCTGCGGGCTGCAACGAATACAGATTTGTATCAGATCTGATAACTTGTATTTATGTGTAAATTATATATCAGATTAATACAATTCTTAATAACTATTGCCGCTCTTACCGCTTCGCCAGCAGCGTTGATAAATCCCAGAAACGACACGAGTAGCACACAGAATATGATTTTATTCATTTTGCCTTACCGCCTTAAGTGTCTTTAGTAACTAAATGTTGGGGCTCTTGATACTAATATGCCTAGGCTAAACTGTAGCTGCGACGGATTTGTAATGAAGCGCAAAACTATTTGCTACATCATTTTTAACGTAATTCGTTCCAATTATGGACAGATTTTAAGACAAACAAAAATAGTATAATGTCCGGTCTGAGGCCTTAAGGCATATAATAAAACTTAAAAATTAAAAAACTTGAAAACAAAAATTAAACTTTTGTACTAAAATATAAAAATGACTGCTTGTTTGAAATTCTCTAGGGGATGCTCGAACTCAGGACTTCCTCAACCATATGCCAAAGCTTCACGATAGTCGAATTTTATAGGTGAAAAAAAACGAGTATACAAGAAAATAAATAAATTTCCACACTCTGGATATGCTTCCTACACACATGCAGAATAAATTGAATACTCTGAGGATCATTCGCTCCAAGTTTCAAGTCGATTTTACATATTCTCATCTTAAGCTCCATCCAATATCCTGACAGTTGTCATTGAAATGTTTTTTATATAGGGTACTCAAAAGTCAGGCATTGTTACACAAGAAATGTTTCTTTTGTGTCGGCAAAGGCTTGGTTCTTTCTGTAAAATATCTATAGTTTTTGTTTCCAATAGTTGAAGATATATGAATCATTCTTAAATCAAATCTTGAGTTCATTTGATTCACAATAAAGCATTCTCGGTCGATTAACTGAATATTTTATTATTATCGTAAGAGTTTTTATTGACCACTTTTGAGAGTCTCATCCCAGTACTGGACGAATCATCATTTTGACGGATTTCTCGCTCTCTCCAGTTGCCCAATGCATCCCATACGTGTAACGGTTCGGGTGCTGTAAGTATTTGCCATTGGGATTGCTAATTGACAAAAAGTAAGATAATTAATAATTATTAATTTTATTAATCAGTAATACTAATAAGTAATCAATATTGAGGAACTCACCTGCTTTGCAAACCATTTTCGATATACCAATAGCCGCCATGAAACTTTTGCGATAGATTTTTGGGATTGCTCTCTCTGTCGTAGGTGGAGAACTTACTGTTCACATTTCTCGATAGAACATCTTCAGTGCCCGAAAAATCGCCAACACTCTTCAGCACGTACGACTCATCCTCGCTACCAATTAGGAAGTCGCCGTAACGGGCCCAGTTAACTTTACCTTTAAAGCTCACGACTTTCACAAACAGCTCGAATCTCTGATAGTTGGTTAGTCTATATATATTCTCCAATCCCAGAAAAGAGTCTTCATTTAGTTTCCCGAAACCATCTCGATACTCCGCCCAAGTCCTATAGAAGTTTTCGGTTCCATGGACTCGGCGCTGAATGATCAGCCAGCCGGAACCAGCTGTTGCGCTGTCGCACCTAACGTGAATTGGCTTTACGCCGGGCATCGTTATAGTCTTGGCGCCCGTAAAGTGCAAGTATGGCACACAGCTATATCTGGACGGAGTGGATAGGTTGATCAGGCAATTAACCAAGTGTCGGCGACCCTCTGGCGTTCGAAACTTTTTACGGTTTTTATTGAAGAACTTGGGCAGAGCAACGCTGTTCATCGTGGCATTGTCACTCTGTGCATTCACTGCTTTTGTTCTGCCACTAGGCTGACAAACGTCAGTCTGCTTTTCTAGATCTGCGATTTCTTTTCGCTTTTTGTCATATTCGTCTACTTGATGTTGGAGCTTCTCTTGCTCTGCCTTCAGTTTTGCATTCTCTTTCTCCAGCGTATTCAATTTCGCCTGCAGCTCCTTTATGCCCTGCAATCATCATGTATTTATGTAGTGCATTTCACATAGTTATCGATAAGTGTTATTGGTATATAAATACATCCTTGGTATTACCTCTGCTTTAATCGTTCCATATAATGTTCCGCATACGGCAAGTATGATGATTAAGTGCATTTTATATATTCGCTTTACGATTTGCAACTATTGTAAATATTGCCATATTCTTTCTATTACATTCTTTATAAGTGTTTGTCCAATCCAATTATAATGGCCTGATCAAAATTTCAACTGGAACTAATGTTGTTAAGTGAATTATTGATACGGAGAGTGTAGGGAATACAAGCTTCAAAATAACTTTCACTGATTCGTTTAGACCTTCAAGCCACAAATTTGTCTTGAAATTGGATAAAAAATTAATTTGAAAATAAAAAAAAAGATTATTCCTAAAAAGAATACTAATCTGCATTGATTTGATTTTCTATATATAAATGCATCCGATTGGTAGGGTATCCGATTGTAGGTCATTGCAATGCCAATAACAATAACAAACAGGGGTAGGGTACCTGATAGTCAGTCATTCCAATGTCCAAACACGCTATCATAATTCCAGCATATGTGACAGTCGCTATTTGTAATGCTTATACATAATAGGGTATTCTCTAGTCGGTTATTTCAATGTTTACTCATAATAACAAATATCCAGGGTATTTAAAGGTCAGTCATTGCGGTACAAACACATCTTCTGTTGATCTTTACAACGTGACAAGCAGAACTGTGTATATGTGTCTATATATATATATATATATATGTGTGCGTGGGTGTGTGTGTGTGTGTGTGTGTGGAATGACCCTTAATGCTAACATAATTTGCATGCAAAGTGGCGCCCCACAAATCTATTTACGAGGGGCTAGGGCTTGTCCGACTGCACTCGATGCGAAGCAACAAATTCATATGAAAAGCGCGCACAAAACAACATTTATTAAGTTGTCATGTGTGTGTGTGTGTTTGTGTGTGTGTGCCAGGTGAATGCTAATTGGAAACGCCGCATAGTTTGCACACTTTATTAATTAATTTAAAGTATTTTGAAGTTGCTTTTTTTTTGGCATTTAAAAGTTTGATCAATAAAATTTTGGCCACAGATTAATAAAGACATCAAATGGCTGTGTGTGTGTGTGTGTCAGTCTCCTTTTGGGTGTTGCCTTAATTGTTTTCTGCTCTCTAACAAAGTGTCGCTTGGCACGCAAATTGCAATAGCAGCCACCCCTAAGCAGACAAACCAACTCAACCCTTAACAGTATGCACAGCCCCAGCCCGTCCCGCCCACCCCAGGCCCATGGCCAGTTCATTAAACTCGGTCAAAACGCTTACAGATTTCATGTGGTACATTACGGCCAACAACGGGCAACACTTTCGCCACTGCCGCTGGGAGAGAGATCGTTGCACAGCTTGGATTAGCTGCCACGTCTCGAATCGTCTCGAGCCGCCTCTAGGTGGATCGTCTGGTTACCCAATGTTGCCGCATTTGGCATCGCTGTTGTCGCATAATTTGTTGTTCTCGCTATGGCCTGGCCATATTTGTGATTGGCCGCCTTTTGGGGCAGCGCTGCGTGCGTGCCACGCAGTTGCCACATTTTGTGGCAATCAATAATAGAAGTGCGTCAAAACTACAAATGTTTTTAGGTCCGACTGTCGGAGAAGCTATAAATATCGGTAGCTGATAAATTAACGGCTAACTGAATATACAGATAAATACAGTTTAAGTTGATGCACTTGAAATACCCTTGACACTTTTTCGAGGGCTGTTTGAAAAGTGAAAGAACTTTATTGAAGTAGATAAGAGAATTAAAAGTGAAAGTTAATTTACTTGACTTTCTTATTTTTTTGGGAAAACTTTTCAGTAATAATCATAAATATACAAATGAGGCCAAGCAAGGCTTGGATTAACTGCGAAATATTAAATATAAAAATAAAAGATCTAAAAAAAAGTGCAAGTTCAATATAAAAAGTCTGAACTGCCCTCGTTATAGATAGAGTCAGTTAGATATGGGCTGAATAATTAAATATATGTTTTTATTCATTTACATACATTTGTTAGAAAGTCAGTTAAGGCCCTAGATATCTTATCGTATTATCTATATCAATCTTATTTGTGTTCTTAGGGTAAGTAAATCAAATAAATAAAAAAGTTAGAAAAACACCAAAACTGAAAAAGAAATAAAGTTAAAAAAGTAAATTTAATAAAAAAAAAAGAAATAAAATAAAAAAAAAAATCTTTAAATTTTAAACTCTATTAAATATAATTCTGTATCAAATGATACATTTAGTGAAAAAAAAAAAACTAAAATGTAATTTTAAGCCAAACATATAAATAAAAAATTTTTTAAATGAACAATTATAAAATTAAATATACACGAGGCTATCAGGTTACCCACAGTTTAATACTCGCTCAAAAGAACTCACAAAGTTTACCATTATTTATATTTCTGTTTCACGTCATGTTTCAAGTCATTTCCAAGTTCTTTGTTCCTTGAACTAGTTCATAATCTTCAAGCTGTACCAGATTTTGTGTTTAAGCGATTAGCTTTAGGCAGGACTGCCTGTTGGGCAGATATGACATATATGATTCATCTATTGCGCCGCAGCCTTTAAGGGGCTGTTAACGCATACATGCGCAGTGCCACAAAGCTTTTACACACACACACGCGTGTATAGAGAACTGTCATTGAGGAACTCATCTTGGGAGATTCCTCAAGTGGCACTTGGCGGCATCTGCTCAAAAATATGAAATGAACTTTGTCATAAAACAGCTAAAATAATCAATGAACTTAGTGAAAGGAAAATTAACATATGTAGATACCACATATGTATATATACAATATAAATACATGCATATATAGGGTATATCAGTGTATATTATATAGAGATACAAATATACTAATGTCCGCCAAGGGAAGCCAACAAAAATGCCGATAGATACCGACAGAAGCGCAACCCCAAAAAAAGAAGAAAACACAGAAACCAAAAGGAAAACAAAAACAAAGCAAATGCCGAATACAGAATGAAAGTGTAAAAGAGAGGCGAATACTCTGCTGGCGGTTTTAACAGTAGCAAACAGCAGCAGAAGAACAGCAGAAGCACAAGCAGCAGCAGCAGCAATAGAGGCGGCAGCGGCATCGGCAGAGCCACCCCCGGTATATGTGTGCGGCTGATTCTCTTGTGTGCGTGCTCTCGTGTGTATGTGTGTGTACAGTTACAGCATAGCGCACTTCCCCTTAGCGCATAGCTTTCCTAACAGCATTTTTAGTTTTTAGCACATTTATTTAGACACCAACCCAAAGAGCAAATGCAGTACCTCGTTTTAGTACGTAACAAAGCCGCTGTGCGGCGCTTTTACATAATTGACAATAATGTAACTGAAATGCAAAATTTATTTTCTTTACAGGTAATTTAAAATTCGATAATTAACTTGTGTATGAAATGGCTTCATCAAGGTGGTATGTATTTATTAAACGCATTTTGCTAAAATATACATACATATATTTTATGCAAATATATCAATATTACATAGATTAATGAAAATGCTAAATGTTTATAATATTTGTGAATATAATAATTAAATTGTAAAAAAAAAAAAAATTATATACATATAGGTGTATATATATGTATATACATATATATATTATGTTAAGACCTAGATTGAACTGATTAAAATACAATAAACTAGTATGGTACCTAAATTTCTGGCAGTGCATCAATTTGCGCAAGAAAATGAAATTCGTAAGCCACTAAGCCTCTGTCATTAGCTAAGTCAGCAATTGCTAAGTCCAGCCCTTAAGCTTCGTATAACGAATGCAAAAGAGCAAGAGCGAATGAGGTGCAGACATAATAACCTTGACAATCGGATGGGCTACTAAATACTAAACATAACGATAACAAAGCCTAACTAGGCACAGACATTAAAGTTAACGCAACATGCAATAGACAACCCCACATCGTCTAACCTCGTCCTGCCCTGCCCGGCCCCGATCCCTGCGCATCATGAGCAGGAGACCGTGAACGGGAGAGCCTTGCGTGCTGTTCGCTTCTAAATATAATATGCACAACAATTAGTAACGAATCAAGGAACCTATGACAACAACACCTGAATAATAGACAACGACCACTAAAATCGTCTGCTCACAATCGAGTTCGAATCCGAATGGCAATGCCAGTGCGTGGCAGGCGGTGCCTGTAGCGCAGTCCAGCTGCGATTTATGTGCCAGCGAGGGTTGCTGCTAAACTTGCTCTACTGGTTTTAAAACAACAAATATGTGCGCTCAGTTCTATTATTAGCTAATTTTTCTTAAACTTTCTGAAAATCATAAATCGAGCTTCTACAATTTGTTCATATCTTAGTTGTTTTAACCACTTTTCCTATTGAGAGATTCTACAATATTTGCCATACCTATTTATTCTCGTCACTTTTTCAGATCTCATTTTCTTCTATTCATTTTCTTTTCATGATTTTCATTCATTATTTCATACTCTCTTTCCAGCTTTATTATTTTATATACCACTCACTTTTTCTCCTCTTTCTTCTCTCCTCTTTTGAGATCAAGTAGTTTTATTTTTCTACTTCTGCTACTCTATTTATTTTTTTTCTGTTTTCTTATTTTTCTATCGATAAGTTTTGTTATTGCCCTTCTCTGCCTCGATAGATTCCTAATTTTTCTTCACCCAATTTTCAAATTTTCTTCTCTTATTTGTAAATCTGCTCGAATCGTTGTTCAACTTTTCCCATCAATGATTCAGCATATTTTCTTTTCACCTGTTATTTGACTTCAAGAAACTTCCATTATGAGTTCTAGCCCTCAATGGGATTCGAACGCACCTCGCACATGCACGTATTTCGGTATATGTCAAGCCTGAACAGCGCCGTTAATCAAGGAACTGGCGCGGGCAATGCACAGAGGCGCGTCTAATGCGCTCCTTGTGCCCATAAAATTAATCAAGCCTCAAATGAGATTTGCATAAAAACTACGAACTGGGCAGCAACTAAAGGGGGGCAGCTAACTGGGGCTACAATTGTTGGCGTGTTGGATTTGCATTGGGTTAGGGCGACCCACTAATAAATTTCTATGCCAATGGGATAGACGAACCGAATAGAGTATACGCCGTGTGTGTGCCAAGACGCGGCCAAAGCGAGAG